ACGACTGTCATGCAGGGACGTTTCCTTATAAAAGCTTTCCACAGCTAAATGGAAAAGGAGTAAGGAAGGAAAGAAAAAAAAGAAGAGGCCTTTACATACTATTTTAAATCCCACATGCTTTATCTCTTCTCCTCTCCCTTCTTTTTCAGTGCTGCTAACAAAACATGACAAGGATTGTTAAAGAGGGTGATTTGCTATGGGATTAAGCAGGCTGAAGTCCCTGTATTCAAAGCCCCAAACCTGATCCAACTGTTAAATGTTGTGCAGTGACAGTTGTGCTAGCACCGTGATTCTCTCGGCCCTTTTATTCAATTGAAGTTAACACAGCATGGTGCCTTCCTACTTCATTGCAACTCCTTTTTACTGTCCCCAAACCACTGAAGAGCCTGAGATTGCACTGGAATAGCAGGAGGCGGAGGTGGGCTGGGCTGGGCTGCGTGGGACAGGGAAGGCTCTGTCGACCCAGCACGGGCTGCCTGTGCCACTCGTGACCCCAATGCCACAGGCTGGCCACTCCTGATGTAGACGCACCTTAACACTTACCCATCAAAGCAATTTGCCACCCCAAAGACCTTATCTGTCCAAGCAGCTAACACTAGTGATGACATACTGAGGGCATGTCATTGCGGTAAGCCTCAGTTAACAGCAATTTTGGGTACCTCTGGGGATTAAGTCCTTTTACCAGATGCCCACAGTATCATTATTTGTGCTACTGAAGCTTTCATACAATTACCAAAGTCTGTAACAATTGCTCTGCATGTCTTGGAAGGAAAAAAAAAATGCCTGTGATTGCCACAGAGGCAGCAGACTAGTAAATCCCTCAACCACACAGTTACATATAGCTAGCTGGATTTCCCGAATGGCACAGGCAGCTTGTGAAACTCTGCATGCCAGGCAACCTGACCTAGCCGGGTAGAAATGAAGACTGATGGACCCCAGGACCAGCCGCGACCCCACTGATCAGATAAACAGCAAGTTAGCGCTCCAGGGAGTCTGGAGCAGACCCCAGCGCTCTCAAAGTCATGGGACCGCTGCTCCGACTTCTTTTAAATAAAGATAAGTGATGTGACAAAAACCAATCATTGCAGCAGTAATAGGCGACATGACCTTTACAACTATCGACCCCTCCCTTCTTCACACACACACTTATTGGCTCTCTGCTGATATATAAGCTTAGCAAGGAATCGGTTAGTGGGTTTTGGAGCTGTAATTTGTATCTTAATGCACTGTCAGCAAAATCGGGCGAGCTTCTTAAAATAGCACAGCCCAGAATCCAGCCAAAGGACACTCTATCACGGCTGGTGCACTTTTGAAAATAAATACACCTGTGGTGAAAGGAGAAGACTGTTTTGTCTTTAGGCAGGGCAGCAGAGACCGAGAGGCTGAAAGTTTGCTCGTCTGCAAAGGATGCTGGTATTGCCTTGTCCGAATGGATTTGCACTGTGCGAGGTAAGTGGCCGCAGCAGCCGTCACGTAACCAATCCTTCCCAGCCCATACTGCCAAATGCACTGCAAAGATATAAACACACTGACTTCTAGTCACACTGCCATTTATTAGTATTAGGATTAGTAATAGTAGTAGTAGTATAGCAGTACTACAGGAGAGACCCACCAAACTGGAGTATTGATGCTAAAAAGCACTATGGGAAGAATCAGGCCTTGCAAGTGCAGTCTACATAGGTAAAAAGACATGAAAGAAGAAAAACTGGAAGAGAAAGGAGCATTGTTATCTCCATTTTTACAGCTGGGAACTGAGGTGCACAGCTGAACAAAAAAAGGCTGTGGCGCAGTTAAAACAAACCCCGCAGCTCCCAGGTTCCAGTTCAAGATGCCGGGGATGTTGCAAGGATTATAAAGAAGAGAGGAATGGAAACTATCCTTCCTGCACAGCCCGGTTCTCTTCAGTTCCAGGTTTCTTCCCTGCCAGCTCTTGTGGCAGTGTCCCCAGCCTGGCTGGTCCAACAACTACCCCGGTCTGCGTGCCGACAGCGTTCTGCACCTTTCTGGTGCTTTTGCTCTGAGCATATCTGGTGACGGTGTTTCCCGCTGCACTCCACCTGCACGGACCAGCTGGGCGCCTCTCCGTCTGTACCTTTCTGGATACAGCTTCTCTCCTTGTACACAATCTCGGGCTCAAGTGGACAATCGAGACCCACCCTCTGCCACTATCGGATTACTCCCCAAAGGCCACTTTTCAGTTCCTTCTCTAGCTTCCTTTTAAATAATGCAGAGAATGAGGCTTCTCTTCCATTACCTCTCTTAGTAAACTAGTCAGATTCAGGTATTTGCCCAAGAAGTGTGTGATGTTTTCCAACCTACATATTCCCCTTTCCCACTGTATCCTTTCCTTTGTAGCTCCTTTTATTGCTTTTTAGCATCTGGATGGAAGATCCTAGATGTTCCCTCTGCATTACTCTAAATAATCCCTCATTGACTCCTGTGTGCTAGGGGAATGCAATTTATCAAATACTTGCCATTTTCACACCTCCTCTTGAGCACAACTATACTCACTATCTTCTCATGCATGTTCTCTGCACCTTCCAGGATTGAGCCTTTTAAAAAGAAGTATTCATAGTGCAATTAAGTATCTATAACTGATTCAAAACTGGAGCGAGCCCTAGAAAGAATAGAGGGATCAGGCAGGGCGCAGAACTCATCGCTATATTCGGTTACCATGACACGACTGAAAAGTATCCGGGATGAAGGCAGAAGTGGGATTTCTGTATTACACAACACATCGCAGAGCCCCAGCTGACCAGCATTTAGGGGTGACAAATGCATTTTGCTTGCTACCTGCTGCCAAATCCCACTGCAGATGAAGAGCATCTCACGTCATTAGGAAATCTAGGGCTGGGTTACAAATGACTGAATTAAAATGCTTCCCAAGCTCCTCCTGCTCTCCCAGCCCCGGCTCCAAGTCACAGCTGCCATTCATCTTCTGCAGAACGTGCTGTCATACGGTTTCCACAATGAGCCCCTCTGTGCTGCTGGATACAATCACCGTGCTTCTCCCGCAGAGTCCCGGGTTCCCCGCCACATATTTCCACCACCTAATGCCGACCTGATTAATACCAATGAACTCATGAATGGGACCTATGGGAATTACAACAGTTTATAGCATTTACCCACGCCAGCTATGGGCAGTTGGGAGAAGAGACTCTCCATATTTCCAAGGCTGAGAAGCCTAATGATCCCTATCCACATGGAAGGTGCTTGCCTGCTTCATGCATCCCCTTGGATTGGGTCAGTTGGGAACTGAATTCCTTCTAGGAGATGCTGGGTGCATCTACATGAGACATCAAATGTGCGGCAGATCAACTCTACCGCTCATCAGCCCGTCATGGCAAAAGCCATGCTACTGCGCTAATGCGCAGCAGAATGAGTCTACTGTGCACTAGCGTCACTAAAACGGTGTGCGCCAGCACTACTGTGCAGTAGTGCCGGTTACTGTGCATCCAATTAGTACCTTTTATAGGTACTAAATTTAATGTGCAGGATGTATGGTGGATTAATGCACATGTAGAGGTGCCCACTGAGTATAATTCTGCTTCAACCAAAGGCAAAATTCCCAGTGACATCAGTCAGGCAGGTCTGGTATCCATTATTTCAGCCAACTGATTTGCTCTTTGGCACATCGTACCTTGTAACATATTGCGTGATTTGTGTCTCTACAGCACAGTCACATGGCCATGCTCATCTTGAACATGGAAATGAAAGACTACAAGACATACCTCTTAGCTCAAGGGGGTCCACTGTGCAAGGGGACTTGTCTTACCTAGAGACTGCATCTCTGTATTAAAGGATGGTGCTGCTACCTGCTCAAGTTGATGCAAGTTCAGGGCTCTTTCTGCTCCCAGTTACAAGGGAACAACTGAACTGTGTCTGGACCTGGATAAGTCAGTGCAGAAATTGGCCAAAAACGCATCCCTCCAGATCCAGATATGATCCTGATGCTGTGCTCAGGGGTGTTGCCATACCCAAACCATACGTGTTCTTTGGACCAAATACAGACGTGGCGTCAATAGGTTGGCAGAAGTTGCACATTGCCAAATCATTGTAAACTGGTACAAACGGAGGCACCCAAAACTAGCCAAGGCTTCAAAATTGAGACCTCAGCTGCTGTATTTCCATTCCGTTATCTCTCTCTGCCTGAGGGAGGCTGTGAGGATTTACTGATAGCTTAATAATGCTCCCAAGGCATCGAGCCTGATCACCATCCTAACACTTTGAGCTTATCCACAGGATTATCCAACAGACCAGACACACAAATATTGTCATTACAAGAGCAGCATCTGGTAGTCCAAAGGCTGGATGGAGAGCTCACCTTAGGGCCCTCTGGACCAGGTAATCCAATTTCTCCCGGCTGTCCTGGCTCCCCCTGTAAGCAAACAGAAGATTCATTAGTCCCTATGGGCACTTTTAGGTGCACTCCAGGGGTGGTGCTTTAATTAGAGCAGCTCTCAGAGCACACTACAGGCTCGCAAAGCTGCTCCACTTAAAGCACCTTAGCACCTCGTGTATCAGCAACCCTGCCCTTCAAAATGGGGCACTTGGACGAGCTTTAGTTCAAGTGCCCCCACCGGCAGTTTGAAGCACAGGGATGCCGATATGCAAGATGCAGGAGTGCGGTAATTACCACGCTCTAGCAGACTCAATCAATCGAGTCTCCTCCGATGCGCTGTAATTACAGTGCATCAGAGCCGCCTCCGAGCTCGTGTACAGCCACCCTATGATTGTAAAGGGTCTGGATTTAAAGCACTCCTGGACCTTACGCAGGGAACATGCCATGCCGTGCCAAGGTTTACAATTCTGTATGTCATGTACAGGCAGCCTGAAATGCCTATCATGTGCTTGATCTCAAGGAGAAACCCAGTAAGAGCAGGCCAAAGCAGACAGCTAAAATATTCAGACATTCACTTGCTCTTTCAAGGCAGCAATTGAAGCGATAAGATGCCAGCTTTCTCATTCCCATCAACTAGGGGTTATTATGGCCTGGGCCTCTGAAGGCTGCACTAAGAATCTAGCCTTTACACATTAGCCCAATTGCTGCAGGACAACTGGTGGCTCCAAGGCTGGCTCACCCTGTCACTATGTGCCAGTGCCCTACTCCACATTAGTGCCATTGCTGTCAGGAGGAAGTGGTACTGATGCTGAAAGGGGTTGTGAGCGGGTATTATGTCCTGCGACTGGAGTAGTGCATCTCAAAATGTGGTGCAGGGGGCAAACTTGGCTGAACACTCGCACGCAGCATGGGAGGGAAGGGAAGTAAGAGAGCCTTTTGCTTTTCACCCCTTCCCCACCACTGCTTGGGCACATCTGCACTCCCAAAGGATTCATTTAGCCTTGTTGGCTGCAGCTAAATAGCCCCCAGTGACCAGGAGCCAAACAGCTAATGGGCCCCAGCCCAGGGAACAGCAAATAGGGAGAGAGGCAAATCCTACAGATCGGTGGGGTGAACAAGATTTCATTGATTTCATTGATTTCATAGACATTAGGGTTGGAAAGACCTCGGGAGATCATCGAATCCAGCCCCCCGCCCCAAGGACAGCAAGTCAGCTAGGGTCAAAGGATCCCAGCAAGATCCAAGCACTTCTTGAGAGATAGGGTACAAGGAGCAGGTGGTTGAAGGCAAGGGTTGATGTGTGAGACCCACCGAGTAATACTAAAGCACAAAGGGGAAGTTTAAAAAAGCAGGCTTCAATGGGTGATAAAAGACACTCTCTTCTCTCGGTTGCATTTAGGCTCACAGCATTTTATCTCGACCCTTCATTTCCATGCTGCAAAGCCTGCAGCAGCTCTCCTAAGCATTTAGCAGGGGTGGTGTCACCAAGTAGACTCCAAGCCCCTGCTGTTGTGACATTTGCTTCCCCGCTACCCCCTGCCCGGGTGCTGCAGCATCACTCCATCCCCGTTCCCCAAATCCACCAGCTGATAACCCCTCTCCCGGTGTGAGGCAAGTGGCGGCAGCATAGAGCCAGCACAGCAGCAGCCAGTCCCACTGCACAGCCTGCCAACCTGTCCTCTCTCCTGGCTTAATGAATTGCAACGGATCT